ACACTCTGGAGGTGGGGTAGGAGGATCAGAAATTCATAGTCACCCTTGGCTACATAGTGAGGTGGAGGCCAGTCTATATTATGTGAGACTGTCAGAAAAAAAAAAAAAAGGGTAAGGTGAGAAAGCAAGCAAGCAGTCTTTGAGCAAGAAAAAAGTTCTAGAACCAAGTAGCAATCCAATTAAAGTTGGTTTAGCATTCATGGCCCTACCATGTGTGCAAGTTGTTTGTGGCCAGTGTGCTGGATAGCTTGAGTGTCAACTTGACACACCTGGGTTGAGGGCAACTCAATTGAGAAATTGCCTCCATTGGACTGGCCTGTGCCCATGTCTGTGGGGCATCTTGATTGTTGAGTGATGTGTGAAGGCCCAGTCTACTGTGGTTGGTGCCACCCCTGGGCAGGTGGGCCTGTGCTGCACAAGAAAGCAGGCTGAGCAAGGGTCAGGAGAGCAAGCCAGTAAGCAGTGTTCCTTTACTGTCTGTGCTCTAGCTCCTGTGTCCAGGTTCCTGCCCTGAGTTTGTACCTTGGGTTCCTTAATGAACTGTGACCTGGGAGATGTAAGCCAAATAAACCCTTTCCTTCCCAAGTTGATATTGGTCAGAGTATTTTGTCAGAGCAATGAAGAAACAAACTAAGATAGAAATTGGTACCAGAGAGTGGGTGACAGACCTGACCCAGTTTTTTTCACAGGACTGTGGAAGTGTTTGGAACTTTGGTCTGGAAAGGTCATTGGGTGCTCAGAGTTTGTTGCTGTGGAACTTGGAACAGTTACCCTGAAAGAGTTGTAGAAGATGGAGACCTGGCTTGTGAATCTTCAAAGGGAAGCAGCAACTATTAGGGCTGTTTGTGTGATGTTGCAAATTGAGAATCTGTGGGTTCTGGTCGGCTGGTCCTGAAGAATCAGCTATGATTAAGAAGAAACCAGAACCTGAAGTAAAACCTTTGCTTTACTGGGACAATTGATGCTGGTTAGCTGGGGCTGAAAAATCAGCTGTAAATAACAAGAGACCAGCATCACTGTCGTGAAAACTTCTGGGAAGTATTTCTTCAGGGTCAGCACACAGAGGCTGTGGTTAAAAGGGGGCCTGGGGCTCTATCTCAAGCTGGAAGGAAGCAGGACTTGGTAATGTGTAAGAGTCTCCTGCATGGTTCTGGTGTTGAAAGCATGAAGGAGTCATAGAGAGAAGCTGAAGCTTGGCACCCTGAGAGTCCAGGAAAAGCCATTGGTGAAAGTGCAGCCTCAGTTGCAGTGAAGACCCCAGGACTGAAGGGATGCCAGGACCTTGGGATGACCACCAAGGACAGCAATAAGTGTGGAATGTAGATGGCCCGTGTCTGCAAGATGAGTTGTATGCACTGTAGATGGCAGAGTCAGAGACGTGGAGCTGCCAGAACCCTTTGGAGCCCAGATTGTGAGTCCCCAATGTCCAGCTTTGAGCTACTTTGCTGGACTTTGGTCTTGCTTAGGTGTGCCTAATTCTTCCCTTTGAAATAAGACAGTACTTGTTTCAGATTTTACAGTATCTGTTAAGGGACTTTTAAAAGAGACTATGGACTTTTAAAGTGTTTGGATTTTTTTAAGAACTGTGGGTCTTAAGAACTGTGATGGCTCAGTGGTTAAGAACACTGGCTGTTCTTGCAGAAGACCCAGGTTTGAATCCCAGCACCCAAATGGCAGCTAACAATTGTCTGTAACTCTAGTCCCAGGGAATCCCACAGCCCCTTCTGTCCTCTGTGGGCATTGCACCACATGGGTGCACTTACTTACATGCAGGTAATACACACATACACATAAAAATAAAAATAAAAAAGGGGGGGGTGGACTGGAGAGATGACTCAGCAGTTAAGAGCACTGACTGTTCTTGCAGAGGATGTGGGTTTGATTCCCAGCACCCACATGGTGGCTACTAACTGTTTTTAACTCCAGTTCCAGGGAAATCTGAAGCCCTCTGACCTCTGAGGCATTGCACGACACGGGTGCACTCACATACATGCAGGCAATACACTCATACACATAAAATAAAAATAGTAAATAAAATATTTAAAAAAAAGAATTATGGGGCTTTTAAGGTTGTACTGTCTTATGTTGTGATATTAATGTTAACATATCTTGGGGACAAGAATTGGAAAGGCTATGGTTTAATAGTGATGTATTTGTGTGTCAAGTTGACAAGAGGTCAATTGTGCTGGATAGGTTTAGTGTCAACTTGACACACAGGTTGAGGGGAATTACCTCCATTGACTGCCTGTGACCATTTCTGTAGGGTATCTTCTTGATTGTTGAGTGATGTGAGAGGGCCCAGCCCACTGTGGGTGGTGCCATCCCTGGGCAGGTGGGCCTGTGTTGCACAAGAAAGGAGGCTGAGCAGGGGCTGGGAGAGCAAGCCGGTAAGCAGTGTTCCTTCATGGCCTGTGCTCCAGCTTCCAGGTTCCTGCCCTACCTTGGGCTCCCTGATGAACTGTGATCCAGAAGATGTAACATAAATAAACACTTTCCTCCCCCAACCAAGTTGGTATTGGTCAGAGTATTTTGTCACAGCAATGAAGAAACAAACTAGGACAGCCAGAGAAAAGAAAATGACATTCAAATCCCTGAGTGGCTGAGTTCACAATTTGCCTTAAAGGGCTTGGTGTGCTGTTAGCCATGTGTGACCCATCAGCTGAAGTGCAACTGCTGTGACTGGTGGTGATTCAGTTGCATACAAAAGGATAAATGGAGTTATGGGACACCTTGTTTACACATCAGCCTAGGGTAGTTTACTATTTTGGTGCCACTTTGGGCCAAACTTTATCTTGAGTATAGAGATGGGTGAAGGCCATAGTTTTTTGTTGTTGTTGCTGTTTTTAACATGAATATAATTTTTTATTGAATTTTTGTGATTTTCATACAATATAATTTAATGGTGTTGCGGTCCCCTCCTGTCTGCACCCCAGCTGATGCAGAATTGGCACATATACTGGATATGGAATGCTTTGACTGCTAAATAATTATACAATAATTAGAACTAATTTGATAAAGACCCTGAAGGCAAGTTTTCAATCATTATTAATGTCAATGGGTGAGTATACTATTGTCCAATTTGGGGCTAACCTCATGCCTTTGAGCATTCTTTCTCCTAGCTCCAGATCACAAGTATATTTATTCCCTGAGCAGAAAACCTCCCTAGTAAGAGCATAGGAACAACAAGTTGAAGCAGAGATAGGCCTACCACTGACTTCAAATGTTTCGATTTGTATTTATTCAGCTTAGGGAGGGGGTATGTAGACCCTCTGGCTTAGGACCCCAGAAGTTCATAAAATAACTTGGATTCTATTTTTTGAACTTATGAGAATCTTCAGTCTTCCTGAAAAGTTGGAAAAGTCGCAACAATGACAATTTACAAACCTACCACTTGTATTCACTAACTGCTACGTTTGCTTTATTGTCACAGAAACGGTTTTGAGGGGGTCAGAGAGGTGGCTCAGTGGGTAGAAGTGCTTGCCAACAAGCCTGACAAACCGAGTTTGAGCCCTGGCACCTACGTGGCACAAGGATTCCTGAAAGTTGTCCTTTGTCCCCTACATGTGTGCAGTGGGTCATGCATGTCCCCCCACAAATAAATAAATGTAATTTTAAAAAAAACATTGAGCCATATGAAAGTAACTTGGAAGAAGTAAGAATTTTTTTGGGGGGGGCAATTTGTTTGAAACAGAGTCTATGTAGCTGAGGCTGTCCTTGAACTTGTGGCAAGTCAGTCTCCTGACTGCTGGGATTATAGGCCTGTGACACTTGCAGCTGGTCAAGCCCTGCATTTTAAATCATTCATCAGTCTTAAGACCCTGTTTAAACCAAAACCGCAGCACATCCACCCATCCGAATCCAATTTGAGCATTCATAGCTAGAATGTGGCCCATATATTCTTGATAGTTTGTTGGTGACTATCAGTAGAGGCAAAAATTTAAAGGGGCTCGGAAGAGGGGTAAGAAGGTGCGTTCTGGGCCCTCCAGGGAGGCCTGGAGGTTTTTGTTGGGGAAGGGTGGGGTCCACTACTGGCCTCATAAAGACCCTGAAGGCCAGGAATGATGCTAAACGCCCCAGAGCCCAGAGCGCATAGGACAATGCCTCAAAAAGCATTCAGCACTGAGGAGGCTTAGTGAGGAAGACCACAAAATAAAGGCCTTCTAGGGTTTTCTTATTCAGGCCCGTTAATGATCCTGTTTCAAACAAAACACAACGCTCCCCTCCTCTCACAGGTCAACACAGCCCATTGAAGAAACCAGGAATCTCAGCAACCCCGTAAGGAAGTGTTTCACATTATGATACTAGATTGCTCCCAATCCACCCTTCCTTGATCCGGTCAGGTTCTGCTATCAAACATTAAACATACAAATAAAAGTCAATCATCCCTCAATACTGACGAGCTGGTTCTGTCTCTGTACTGAAATTAGCCCTGTCGTTGGTCTGTGACGATGTCGGGCCTGCCAAGTATGTCATCTGAAACAAGTACTTTAATTTGAGCAGGCATATAGCAATCTTATTTTGGGGGGGGGGGGGGGTAGGTGCCAGTGAAAGCCCAAAGGGCATTGCGAACTAACAACCCTGCTGCAGGTTTGGAGTGTGCAAAATGCTTTCCAATAATGTGTTGTAACTTGACCTGACAACATTCTGGGAGGCTGTTTATTACAATGCGGCAGTGCAGTCGCACTCGAAGAATTAGGCTGGAGACCGGCTGGCTTCGCACACCGGGCTACGGAAGGGGAGGAGACAGGAACACTAGGGGCTGGATACAGGTCCAGACAGAGCCTCCAAGTCCTGCACTCCACTCCGCAGGAACAGAAACCGTTCTGGACGCTTCCTCTCTCCATTTCCCTGCAACACAGTCAAGCGGATCCTCAAAAGGCGTCCTAACTGGAACCGAAGTAGCACAGATTTAAGTGCCACCACCGTGGGAAGTCCTAGCCTGCAACCTCCCAAGCGCAGGGTGAGTTCTGCGACCCGGATGCCGGCAGGCCAGGCCAGGTGTTTGCAGCAGGTGTTCGCAGGTGAGGCCCTGGGGCTTGCAAGCTGAGCTGAGCTCCCCTGCTCGGCTTCTCCGCAGTGCGGCGTGCAGCCAGCCAGTCTGCCTTCCTGGGAGCTCAGGGAGCGGATCCACGCATTTAAAGGGCTAGCGTCCTGCAGCCCAGAGCTGATGCTGCGCAGGGTGGCGAGCGCACCTGCGCAGCGAACGGTCACATGACCAACTCCATCCATCTCCGCGAAGCCAGGCCCCCCGGGCTGCTATGTGACGTCCCAGGACAAAGGGGCTGGCTAGTTCCCGAAAACCTTCCTCCCTCGCGAGACAAAACCCAGCGGGCGCCCTCGCCTTCCCAACCTGCCGCTCGCTCACTGGAGCCGGGTCTGCCCTTAGCCCGGGTTCTCCTAACGCGCACCTGGCCACCACCCGCGCGCGCCCGGCCCTCCAGGTGAGCGGCGCCAGGCCCCGCCCCCATCACGCAGGCCCCCGCCTCTTTCCCGCGCTTGCGCTGTGAGTCCGGCGGCGGCGCCAGGCGCCGGGGCGGCGCGGCCGTCGCAGTT